CTGCGGTGGAAAATGTTCCAGTTTTGTCCAACACACATGAATGAACAGTCCCACTGAGTTATCAGTCACCACTTTCACTTTTGGCCTTGTGTACAGCTTGGTTACAGCAAGGATGCAATGGGGAAGCACATCCCCTTAGGTTATAAATCCCTGCACTCCTTTTGCCTGTTTGTTAAAACAAAAACCCAACCCAAGCTCTTGCCTCAAACTCAGCCACACCAAATGGTTCCCACCAGAATTTCCTTTGGCTTGCTGTTAATTGACTCTCACCACGCTGCGTGTTTGGCTCCTAATAGGCTCCAAATAATCTGACAGACAAAGTTAAATCAGCAAAGTCCTTAAAACCTTGCTAAATATGTGTTATTCCCTTTATCTTCCCTGTACTTCAGGTGTCCCAAAAGCTACTGACGTTATCTAAACACTCGTCTGGGCTGTGTGAAGAAACTGGCAGAGGGAAATATCTCTGGGCATCTCCTATGGAAGATAAAGCTGTTCTCAGAAACCAGATTATTAAGATGACTTTCTGTGTCTGTTAAAAAGGGCCCCAGTCTTGCCCTCCAGCCGTGCTGGGGGCTTTGGCTTTGCCTTCAGTGAAATGAGAGTGCAGTTCCCGTGGCTTGACCTTGTGGCTGGCTTGGCACACAGAGGGTTTGGCAAGGCTGGAAATGACCTCTGGTGTACAAGCTGATGTTCATTGGCAGGTTCACAGCTCTTTCCACACACCTGCATTTGCCATGGAGGCTGTTCCAACAGCCCACCAAGAGGAAAGTCATCATCCTTGTTTCCATTGAATCTCCACCCACACGGTCATCAAAGGGCACCATTTGGCATTTTCATGTTTTGGTGTCATTTTCAGTGCAGAGAACATTTAACACTTTAGTTTTAAGGGAACTAAGCATAAACAGAGCCATTTTACAGCCATTTTCTAAAAGATTCTTGGAGTTTTAAAACTTTTCTGCTTCAGCACAGAGACATTTTCACAACCTTTAGACATTTGCCCTTTCATGATTCTTAGATTTTTATTGAAGAAGATTGTCCTTCATGCTTTTTTTCTTTTTTCCTTCTCCTTTCTCTTTACAAAATCTTATACTTGTGACATGCAAGGTGTGCTTTTGCAGTGATCAGTATGAGCTGATGTTCTGGGGAAGGTGGAATTATTGGTACCTGTAAGGTTTCTGTACTTCCTTTTCTTCTGCAGTACCTTTTGCTGTCTTACAAGCATTCTTTGACTGTTTACCTGCTTCACGTTTTTTTTTAAATCCCTGTGTTTTTAACTGAATTAGAAGTTGTGTCTCCTCGCATCAAATGAAATAATTAACTTTCACTAGTCAGAAATTATTGTCAGCGTTTCTCCAAGAGTTTTTGTGGCACCTCGGATCGATTCATGGAATATTGAAATCTCTGCAGGACGGCCCTTGCTATTGAGCCATGACATTCCACTCAGTCAGCTCCAGCCTGGGCTGGAGTTTGGCATTCCCATTCCAGGGGAGCAGAGCTAGATGGCACAAGCCACATTTTATTCCGTTCTCCTTAGATTCCCCTCACCTCACCCCCTCCGATGTTTTTTCCAGCTATTTTTATATTATTGCTTCCTTGTCACCTTGGAGCTATTTTGGGTAAAAATCACTTGGCTTCCTATGAAGTCTGCCTGAAGAACACAGCAGGACAAGACCCAGGCAAGCACCTCCAGAAGAATTTTATTAGTTTACAGGCCTGTTCAAGTGTATCGACGTGTGTGGTGGTGCCACTCTGTGTCCTACTGGATCGAGTCAGGGGTGCCAGTCAGCAGACCTGAATCTCTCCCCAATCTAATTCCCAGGCTGTAAGTTAGTCTCAGTTTCTTTCCCTCCCCAGGAAAACAGTGTTAACTTGTCTTTCCAAGGTGCTTCAGCCCTTTGGACGGGACGGGTGGTTTTCTCCAAGCACATCCCGGTTTTGGCTTTGTTACCCCACGATGCTCGGCTGGGCATCCTGCAGCCCTCGTGCCAACAGAACAGAAAGCAGCTGTGGTATTTTTCTGTTCTTGCCTGCTTGTTTTCTTTACCATTCTCAGTCCCAGCTGCACAATATCCTGGCCCAAGAGAAGAACTTTGGCTCCTCGGGATGAAAAGCAGCTCCGACGACAGCCCAAAGGTACGTGGGGGGTTCAGAACGACAGCAACACACCCCTGAAAGCTGCTGGTGTCTGTTTTGCAAGCAACAGCTTTTAGTATGTGAAAAGATGCGCTGCAGGTCGATCAAATGACAGAGGGGAGCGTGAGGTGACAGCAGAAAGCAGAGAATGGCAGCAATGCCTGCTTTGCACGACTCATCCCCGGGCTGACGGCGTTTTCTGTCATTAATCTGTTCGGTTTATAACTAGGCCATAAAGCCTTACTTCAGGCCGAAATGCAGCAGGGAATCCTGCAGTTCAAAGATTTGTGCTTTTATAGAGAAACAGATCAGTGATTTGTTTATTGAAATTGCAGCACTTTAACAGTTATTTACATTTCTTTTGCACTCTTACAACTTGTGCTTTTTGGACTTGATTTATGTTCCATATACATCTGTGTGATCTCTTCCAAACTCGCTGTCCCCTTGGCTTCATCAAGTTCCTTTCTATATATACAGCTGTGACTTACTCATAGAAGATGCTCCTTCATACTTTTTGTAATTAGATGGGGGACCTTGCTGAAACTTCACGGAAGGTTGATGAGAGTAAAGTGAGTTTGGGTTTGTTTTGTTTGAAAGACTGGATGTGTATGTGGGTAGGAAAACCAGTTATTAACAGAAACTGAACAAGGAGTAAGTTACAATCCTTAGCTTCACTGTGTTACAAGTTTTAGTGTCACTTCATCCCATGTTTCTTTATACTCTTAAAGCTTCACCTGATCTATTTGACACTGACTGGTCTTGCAGGCAGGAAACAAGCATGTGGAACACAGTGGAGACTGGCAAGTCCCCATGTTTATACTGAATAATAACATAACTAAACATACACATCCTGCAGCCCTCAAGTAATGGAAGAACTAAGAGCTCTAGTTTAGAATGACAAGATCTTTTTATTACCATATCACTAATAAAACAAGGATGGCAGCATCAGAGGACCTACTGTGATCTGTACCATCTCTTGCCAGTCACATTAGAAACGATCTGTAAATCAGTTTGACAGGTTCCATCAATTGGAGCAACATCTGCTGGATACATGCCCCAGCACACACGCTGAAAGGGATGTTCAAATTACCATCAGTTCAGAATCCACTCTGGTTTCTGCAGAACGCAGTGAAGTCAAGTGGAAGGAATAAAACACCGTCAGTGAAAGAGGGAGAGTTGAACACCGGCTGACGAGAGGCAGGTTAAAAGCACTGTTTGTATGCTGAGCGGTGTGTGCCAGGAAGAACACCCAAATAAAGCTTTTAAGGCAAAACAGGTTATAGTTCCGTACTTTTTGATACAGGGGGAGGGCTGCAGCAGGACAGTGGCTCTTGTTTAGCCCCTGACAGGAGAGTTCACTTTGTTCCCAGAGGATCAGGGTGTCTGCCAGGCAGCTGCAGCTATTGCTATTCAGTTTTGGAAAGAGGAAGACCACGGGTTCAAAGGGGGTTTAAATGACGATAGTGAGTTTGGTCCCAGTTCTACGGATCAGCTCTGGGGTTCAGCTTCTCGGATTTAGATGTTTAAAGGTAGTATCTTTGTTCCAGCTTTCACATTTCTCTAGTGAGAGACACCTTCCATCACCTGAGGTATGCTTCATGCAATAGTTACTCATTACTTGGAAGAAATTAGGAGGTTTGAGACTTGTGAAGCAAAAAAGGGAAAATAATGCTGTAACTGAAATCTTCTTTATTCACCAGCCAAATGTAACCCAGTAATTCCCACTGAGAGGTTCCACGCACAGCACCAGCACTGTCCTTCCCCTTGGCTCGCAGGGACTCGCCATGCACATACAGGTAAGTTCATGGAAAAAAAAAATGCCAAGTTTAACTTTGCTCTTTTCAAGAGGACCACTATGTACTCGTGGGAACTCTTTTAGCATCCCAGCTTCGGTGTGATCCAGAATCTCTGATCTTGGGACTGTGCAAGGCAGAGATTTTTGCAGGTGCAGTGCTGTGACCTTTCTGGCAAGTATGGCTGGTACTGCAGTACCTGGTGGGTTTAACTTCTTCATTCCAGAAATTGGGTCTCGTGTTGTTTCAAGCAGTTGTGGCCTGGTTTGTAGTCTGTTGCCTCAGGAGGGTCCCTGTCAGCCTCCTGCAGGAGAACGAGTGACAAACCAGAACACAATCCCTCCGGCCTCAGCCTGGTGTCTTCGCTGAGAAGCTCGCTGCTGCAGCCAGTGGGGGTTTGGGGTGTTTTTTTCTTTGATAAATTTTGTTTGCCCTCCTTCCTCCCACCCCTATTTAAAAAACAGCAGCTTGATGGCACAGCAGCAAATGCACATTAATATCAAACAGAATTTTCACTACCGTTTTCGTATTAACATGAGATGCCAGGATGTAAAGTGAGCTGGATCTGCTGCACATGGGACCACTCTTGCCATTAAAGGCTTTAGGCTGGAACGAAGCCCAACATTTTTAGAAGGAATGCAACATTTCCTGATCAAATATTCATTACATGCTATATAGAATTATATATTCCAAACAAATTTTATAAATAAAAAGCTAGGCCTTTCAAAACCATCAGCAGTATTAATTTTGCATTTGAAAGATTATGAAAGATAAACAACCACGTAACTGTGAATTAGAAAAATACCGGCCTAGTTCGCATAAAAACCTCCGTTAAATAAATACTGTTAAGTTTTCACTATGAAAATTTTTCAGTGGCATTGCACTTTTAGAAAAGCCGTAATGAATTAACCATCCGGTAACGACACTCGAGGCGTTTTTCACAAATCACGTTTTACACACACGGGGAGTGGGGGGGGGTGGGGGTGTCAGGTGGCCCAAAAAGGGCCACGGAGTGGGCTAATAACGCAGTTCCACAGAAAGTAACTCTTGGTACGTGCTGCTCCTCCATCCCGACTGCAGACCCTGTTCCCCCTGTCCCCCCGGGCTGCAGTGCTGCCCCAGGAGCTCCAAAGGCTGGCACAGAAGGTGACTGTGACTGTGCGTTGATAACCTCCCCTTTCACACCAGGGGTTTGGCCTGGGGGCGGTTCCCAGCGCGTGGCTCTGGTTTCCAGTCTGGCTGGAAGAAGTGGATGTCGAATGTCCGTGCCCAGCTCTCGAAGACGCGTTTCTCCGTGATGAACCGGTGGTGGCTCCCCTTGCGGCCCCGCTCGTGGGAGAGGTACATCGTGCACTCGTCGGGTCCCAGAGGCTCGTAATAGTGGTAAGGTACTGAGAGATGGTTAGGATCCCTGTGGGGAAAAAAAAGAAAACAGGTGGAAACCCAAGATGTTCTTTTTCGCTGATTGAAAAGATGCTATCTTTAATATAAACTGATGGGCTCAAATCCACTTTTTCTCCCCCCGTTAAACCAAATTTGTAGGCAGCTGTATTTTTCTTGCATATTTAATACATGAGAACGGGGCAGAGGTGTTTTCTTTGCTCTTTCTGCTGCTCTCCTTTAATCCTCCCCTCCCAGTTAAACGCAGGGCAGCAGCAGCTCAGGAACAAGGGAGAGTGCTGCAGGGGCTGCGTCACTGCACACGAAATTTGAAGCAAACTGCTTAAAAGAGATTTCTATCTGCCTAGGCTGTGGTTTGTAAAAGGTCTTGCAGAGGTATTTACTGAGCTGGGGGGAAGAAAGGGAAGAAGGCAGAGGGGAGGTGGTTATCTGTGCCAAGTGCACACCTTCAGCGCGTGCATCTGCGTGCCAGGTCAGCGATACATGGTCTGCTCTTCTGCTGGGTTTGGAAGCAGAACAGCTGATGCACAAATGGGTTCTTTTTTTTTTTTTTTTTTAATTTTACAATAGTGCCTGATCTAAAATTGAAATGGTTCACCCCCAGTCTCCTTCTGACCTTGGGAACCTGTTTGCATTACCCGGCAGGAGGCGAGAACTCACGAGGCGACACCCAGGATACACCAAAGACCAATTAGGTACTTAGGATAAAGTTCATTTTAGCATTCTAACCTCAGTGTTTTGATGTTGCAGTCTGTAAAAGGCACACGTGTATTATAATAAGCCAGAGTGATTAATTCTCCTTTTGTTTTAATCTCTATATTAAACTGTACCCAGTATGTTTTCTTTCCTCTGGGCACGGCTTTTTGGCCTGACAGGAACTCCCACAACCCTCTCTGTCATGAATTCAAAGAGAGCAAAGCTGTTCCAGAGAGAATAACCCAACTGCACCGCTCTCCACAGTTGCTACCAAGTATTTTGTTGTGGCAGAGAAGTTAATCCAAATATCAGCATTTAGTGAAGCCTTGGAGCTGCTCTGTGTTAAAGCCTGAGCCAAAGAGGAGCCTAGTACAGAGCAAGAAATCTCCTGCAGATTCCAGGCTGTCAGCTCTAATACACAGTTGATTATTTCCATTTTGAAGAGCTAATATTTAAGCTCACTTTCAATTGAATGCACCCACAGTCTGTCAGTGTTCTGTCCTGGTCATTATTTTTACTTGTAATTCTGTCACCTAAGCAATTCTCTTAATTTTTCTTATTTTGCCATTATCCATACTGTGTGTGCAGAGGTAATGTATGATATTGCTGCTGCTTCCCATTTGTGCCTTAGATTAACGTTTTAATTCCATCCATCAGGCTTCCTTGCAACCCAACACGGTGATCAATCTTACAACAACAGAATAACAATAAAATTACATTTCTAGAATAAGATGGATTCTAAGCTTATTAAATATATTCTCACCGGAATACAGAAGAGCGAAACAAAATCCTTCATTACCTTACCTACAGAAAACATATTTGTAATTTAAAAACTACCCTTCAGATAGAAATTTAATACTTTTAAGCTACAACTATTAGAGGTCAATCTTCAATCCATTTTTTCACTTTTTTTGATACACTGGACCTCTTCTTATTGTCACTTACTTAAATGAACAATTTGTGTGGTTACTGTAAATCTAAAAGGATGCATTTTCACATGATTTATTTTCGTTAAGAACTGCTAAACAAATAGGTCTCTGCCTCTCATTTAGACTGTTCCTGCTCTGGAAGGTGGATTTTACTCTTGGGTTCTCGAGGGTTCTTGGATTCCCCGAGGTTGCATGCTGGTAAACTTTGGATTTGAACTGTGGCTTGAGTAACTACACCATAACCCAAATTAACTGTGCCGTGTTATCTTCTAACTCTGCAATTAGCTCGTGGCACCAGCAGATGAAATGCATGAGTAATTTCTATAAGGAAATTGCTTGCCAACTCATTTATTAACATTAAAACAGATGCTGTTTTATCACTGACTGATACTGGACATTAATCAGTGTTTTGTCAGGCTCTGCATGCATATTAATATCACAGCTGGGAGGAATCTGGGGAAGTTCCTCTGTGAAATATCCTCCACTTCCTTCCTGGCAGCCTGCCAGCACAGCACCCGTGTCAGTGCTTGTACCCGTGTCAGTCAGCTGCTGTTTGCCACTTGAGTGCACATTTTCCCACAGATGGTATCCACCCCCAGCCAGAGCTGAAGGCACAGCGAACACTGTTTGCCTCCAAAGAAACAAGGCAGGAAAACCAGGCCACGCCGCATCACATTCCGGTCAACCTCTTCCTTTAGAAATAAAGTGCCATTTTAAATCAACCCCCTAAAACTACAGGCACTCGCTCACTCTGTAAAATAATTCATATTTTGAAGGGTGAATAAAGTGTCATTACTGTGCTGAGTGATGGGCGAGGTGCTGTGCCAGGACTATGGAGATTTCCGGGTAATTTTTTTGCCTTCTATTCCCAGGGTCCCATTTCCCTGACTTCCACTATTAGCCGAGTTTTCCAAACCATTTATGCATTTTGTTTCTAAGGTAATGAGGTGAAGCATATCGGACCAAAGGGCAGGACTATCTCACACACACTTCAGGGACTGTGGTGATGATATCTGTGCACCACTGTCAGGGGGGTGTAGGGAGGCGAGAGGAAAAATCCTCGATGTCCCAGTTCAGGCTGCCAAAGGGAGCTCAGAGAGGGAAAGGTTTCCCACCTGGGGTGCTCAGTTTGCTCCAGTGAATGCTAGGATGGGATCCCTGGGCACTGGAAAAAATACAGCAAGGTGGCTTGTTTGTCTTGTGACCAAAGAGTGAGAGGTGCAATATCAAGCCTTTAACTCTTACTACAGCATAAATCTGTAGCAAAGTAAGGGGGTTTGAAATATCTTATAGTTTTGCTGTAAACTACTAAAAATTTCTAATAATCAGGACCCCAATTCCAGTTCTGCTCTGAAACTCAGTGTCCAGTGAAAGCAAATAGGAATTAATCTAAAACACCTTGTTGCCATTAATAATGACAAATCTTTTTACTCTCTGCTCCAGACTCCTTCACTAGACTATTTTTCCTGCACGGGTGCAAAGCAATTTGGTTAATGATCTTAAGCTAATAATTTGTAGCAGAATCAACAGTGTATCATTCACGGTACCTTTGAGGTGTCCTTCACGTTACAGATGTGGCACTAATTTAGTTCCACCACAGCGAGCGCCACACTTGTTACTTACTCCACAAATTAATGCTTAAAAAAGAATCTGCTGAAATTTCAAATCTGGTGATGTTAACTCTGAATAGAAATAAGATTTTTTTGGTTGTTGTTTTTTTTTTTTTTTTTTTAATCTTAACGATTCTTTAGTTGCACAGCGACTAGGGTACCCACACCCTCTCACAACACACACATTACAGAGTTATTACAATTACAGTGTATTTATTTCTTTTTGTTCTGTTCTGTTTTCCTATTTCCTTGCAAAGAGGCGCTGTTTAACTTCTTAAAGAGTAGCTGAAGAGCAAACTAAGAAGGTTAACTGTATTTATAGCAAGACACTCCTTTCACGGGTCTTCATGGACAGCTTCTTCCAGGCCTGGCAACTACAGTTTTCCCCTTCATCACCTGGGGAATCAAGCTGAAGTGAAGACACTTCATAATATTTTGATTAAGAAATGACCTTTCTCCTTTTTACGACCAGGTGAGCGAACCTTTATGTCAAGATTTTTTTTTTTCTTTTAATGTGGGCTGTAAGCACTATTACACCAGAGGCAGGATTAATTTACAGCCTTTCCTGGGTTATAATTTAACATTATATCCATTGGATTTCAGTGTACCAATTCCATGAAAGCCATTCATATGGCCTCAGGGACGTTTTTAGCCTCTCTTAAAAACTGTTTGGGTTTAATGGTTTTTTTGTTCATTTTTTTGTTCGGTGTGGGGGTTTTTTGTTTGTTTGGTGTTTTTTTGTTGTGTTTTTTTGTTTGTTTTTTTGGTTTTGGTTTTTTTTAAGATGTATATGTATCTAAATTATCCTGACTTTGGCTGAAAAGTCAGGACTGTGCATTATTTTGCAGTGAAATGCTGTTCTTCTGCATTTTTAGATCATCAGTTTATTAATTATTACTTCCATGTACCACTGGAATACAGCCATTCCTGGAGTAGGACAGACCTGCATAAACTGAAGTAATATATGTCTTGGCCAACCAAAATGACAGGGGAAGTGAGATGCTGTGCTGGGGAAGGTATTTGTGTTGTCTGGCATATCTGATCTATCTGGTTTGTTATTTTCCTTGGAGGATTCATGATGAAGTCTGGCAGTACATCCCAGCATTTATCATCGCTCTTTTGTTATAATTTGCAGAAAATTCTCACAAAGTGGAGTTCTTTGTTGACATTTTATGCCGTGATTTCTTCAGGGATGTGCCCAGGACAAACGCAGATTCCTGACTGATCCTTTTAAGTCAGTCAGGAGGACTTTTCTCAGAGGAAAGTCAAAGCAGTCCTGAGTCAAAGACGTCCTGTTCTTTGACAGATGCACTAACCTGGCCCCTGGAGTTGGCCAATTTGTGTGCTCCTTCTCCCACTTGTGGCCCAAATGGGCAATTAATGACGGGACTGATCCTCTGTGTGTCCACGTTCTGGGAGAGACGTTTGGTGGGGATTATTTAGTTTACTGTAAAATTATGATTCGTGGGACAAAGATACAACAATCTCCATTTCTGCTGCACAGAAAGCTCAATTTAGAAACTAGTCACTGTGAGGATGCCGTTCCTCTATTAATTTGGGGGGAACTTGAAAAACAAATTAAAAGTCATGTTTTCCAGTACTTCTTTCTTCAGATTAATTTCATGCCAATTATTGCATTACTTTTTAGCTGATAAATATTCAGAGACTGAAAAAAACCAACAAGACGGATTAATTCTCCCACACTACAAACAAAATTTTTTAATATTTTCCATAACATAATTAAACTCCTTTTGTTGTTTTCGGAATGAGATTGTGGGACATCTTAATGAATTGCTTTAGGAGGATTGAAGACATGTTGCAGAGAAAAAAAAAAAAAAAAAGATGAAAAGATTCAGATTTTTATCCGTAACATTAACTTTGTGGGCCAATAATGGTTCCAAAACAAAGATCCTACCTGCAGAAATCCGGTGGCACCATGCCATAAACATTTATCCTGTCACAGAGCTCTAACGCGATAGCCATCGTGAACCAGCCCGTGCTGAGCCAAGTGTTGGATATCTTCCTGAAAGCAAAAACAGAATTAAGTGTCTAGGCTGACAAATAATTCTCCAGACTTATTTATTTATTTATTTGTTTTTTTTTTCTTGAAACAGCATTTTTATTCCTCACTCTCATGAAAGGCCATGGAACCTGGGCAACCACGACTGCTTTGCTCGTTCATATTTTAATGGTTTTTGCTTGGTGTCTCCTGCCAGTGGCCTAATCTGTTTTCAGGCAGAAACCGCCCTGGCAGTAATTAATTTTGGGGCACAACAATGTTAATATTTAGCTGACCTTTTGGTAAATTTACTTCAGGCAACTGAAACTTCATGCACTGTATTTATTTATATTCTACTGCTAGCAATCTGTACACATCTGTAATCACTTAATGGAGCTTGCGCAGTAAGTGCTTAGGAAGATCCATCACGGGGAGATGAAGCAGGAAGCTTATTGGGCTGCAGCTTTGCCTTTGCCCCCACAGCCAGCCTGGGAAACCAACCTTCATCCTGGGAAACCAACCTTCATCCTGGGAAACTAACCTTCATCCTGGGAAACCAACCTTCATCCTGGGAAACCAACCTTCATCCTGGGAAACCAACCTTCATCCTGGGAGCTACCCCTCTGCCTGCCCCGAGTGCCATCCCTACCTTTGATAAGAAATGACAGAGCACTGCCAGGGAGCCCTCAAAGGCAGCCCCTCCCCTGGCCTTCTCTGCAGGCTGGGAGATGGCTTTCAAAGAAGCTCAACTGATCCCAGCATTATCTACACAAAACTGGAGATACCTCCGTGTAATTTTGGATTTGCAAGTGGTGTTTCGGTTTTGCTGTGTCACAGGTTCTTCTCTGCAAAAAAAAGGCAGCAGCAATGTTTCCTCTTCCCCTCATTTGCTCGTTTGGTGTGTAAGAGCTGGGTCCTGTGGTGGTTTCTGGTTGCCTGGCACGTGCACTGACTGGAATTCCCAGTCCTGGGTTTAAGTTCCTGCACTTGGCTCTGTGCTGGGGGAGGGCTGGCCGTGTCGGAATGGAAGGATCAAGGAAATGCCGGTGAGGAGCACGTCTTAAAGGTGTCATAAGGGCATGGTTAGGGGCTGGCACCTCTCTTAGACATGCAGGCACATAAAGGAGGGTATTTGCTCCAGAGAAAAGGGAGTTCAAAGGTCTCCTTTCAAATACTGTTAAAGAAGAAGACAGCCAGGTCTCCCTAATGGCTCCTCACTCACTCAGCTAGAAATGTCCCGCAGGAAGAAGTTCAAGCTTGTGTTATCTGCAGCCCCAAAAGGGCTCAGATTCCTGCTGACAGCCTGTCACAGTGCCTGGCTCTCCCTTCATCTCCTGCTGAAGCTGAGGCAGTGTGGGAGCAAGGGCAGGCTCCTGGAAGGCGTGGGCGCTGTGTCAGATGGGATTAATATGGAACCTTCATCAACCCCCCTTCCCCCACACCTGTGCCTGCCTGATACCTGGGAAATTTCGGGACATCACCCCCACCAAAAAAAAAAAAAAGAAGCACAGCAGAAAACGTGAGGTTCCCTCTGGAGAAGCCACCTGGGAATCCCAGGTTCTGACCCGAGTTCCAAAGCCACCTTTTACAGTTTACCCAGCGACAGCACGGTGTGGAACAGTCCTGGAAGGAGGGACCTGAGACCACAAAAAAACCACTGCAGGCAAGTGCCAGCAATCACTGACATCTCATTCGGGCGAAAAGAGCCACCACGCAGCTTCCCAAGCTAACGCACAACAAGCTGCTTCCAAGTAGGTCACCTACAGGGCAGGAGGAGGGAGATGTTCAGAGCACTGTCAGATTGAGGAACGCCTTGTACCGAGTTTCCCATTTCCTCAGGGAATTAAGACTGCTGCAAAGAGAAAAACCCAGTGGTGGTGTCAGTGCTGGCTGCTCGAAAGACACTGCTAAACAAAAGGGAATTCTTTCACCAAGTATGCCTGAAGGATGAGCCTCGTTTATTTGTCCTGTCCTTTGTGGGTCGCCTGGTGATGTGTGCTCTCCCAAAACACACATTTTTACTGCTCCTGACACACAGACTGCCAGGCCAAGCTGGCATTTGGAGAATGACGTGTTTTAAGCATCTTGTTATTTCCAATTACAGGGCCTTATTTATTTTCTGACTCTGAAAGTCTGGAGGTTGGGGGTGGTGGTGCAGTTTGTCACAGCTGGGGCACGAGCTGAGCACAGACCTTCAGGCACTGCAACAACACAAACCAGTAAATAAGGATTTTCGGCTCAAAACTATTAGGAAAGGGAAGAGCGGGGAAAAGCTTGCAAAACTTGCTTCTGTGAATCACTGGGTAATTCAGGAACGTGCTCAGGCTGAGAGTACTCTGGAGCTTGCACAAGGCCGCTGTTCCAGGTGCTTAACACCTTACATTCCAAAACCCAGGGAGCAAGTGTAGCTGGACCATGACCAAAGGCTCTGCACAAAGTCAGGCAACCCAGCTAAGCTGTCCCTTGGGTTAGTTTTCCTTTTTTACTTACACACTGTAATTTAGTGTTTTCGATAAACAGGAGAATAATTGAATATAAATAAACGAGCTTAAAAGCTAAACAATCAAATAAAGATTTAAAAATTTATTCAAGGGCCACTCTGGCCTCTTTAAATACCGTGTCCCTAGGACAGCAACACAGAAATGGGGTTGTAGTGTCTTGCCTTTTCATAAAAGATCTGAGAAGAGTCCAACAAAAGAGTACTGCTTTTATACCTAATCAGCTGTAATGAAAGAATATGAAGAACTGTCATGTGCTTATTAGGGGAAATTATCAGATATTCTTTTATATGATGAACTAACACACAGCGCTGATAATTCTGTAGTGCACACTAAATTACAATTAAAGGCCTTTCTGCTCCGCCAAAATCTCATTTATAATCTCTATGGAAATACTCTTCCTGCAGTTATTTCATTTATGCTTCTTTTATCTAATTACTAGAATATTGGTTCTGAATCATATTTTCTTAATGTACCCTTATTCAATTATAAAGTTATTTTCAAGTATAGTTACTTTATAATGCCAAGTATATCACTCTGCAGCCTTTGTCTTTCACCACACTATTTAACTGGCAACGTTTTCTGAAGGCTTCTCTTCATTTCAAAATCAGCTTTTTTTCCCCGAAAAGCACAATACGTCCAATTACCTTTTTTTATTTTTTTCTCATCTTTTTTTTCCAAGACAGAAATGAATAGTCTGATTGTTGCAACCTCGCAATCATGCTTCTCTCTCCCCCTCCTTTGTTTTTTTGTAGGCACTAATGCCAAGGGCTCAGCAGAAACCTCCCAGGGAACAGCAGCGTTCCAGGCTGCAAAACGTTCTGCTCCAGCCCCCACAGCCACGTAAATTTTTCTCCCCTTACGAATTCCTTCCTATCCTTGTTCCCTTTTCATCTTCCCTCTCTTCTGGGCTGCTTATTCATTTATTTTCATCTCCCGTTTTAATCTTCTTAGTCCTTCAAGGGTGCTGTCTGTGCCCTCTACAGGAGCGGCTCACACACAGCGGAGCCTGAAGTTTATTAAAATCAACAGGGCCCGTTCCCCAGGCTGAATTTCGCTGGCATCTGAGCGCCCTTGACTCACCCTGGGAATTCAGGGTGCCCACCACCGAGTCCGGTCTGAACTTGTTACAGTGTCATTAACGGCTCAAACGCCTTGAGAATACTTGAGGAGCCAAGTCTGGTTGGTGCCTGTGCAGAGGAAGAAGTGCTTTGATCACAAATTCACTACAAGGCCTCTGGCTCTGGGTGGCTGATGCAGAACCAGAAAGAGCAGCTTGCCTGAAAATTGCACAGCACGTGTCAGAGTAAGAACGGGACCCTGGCAGTGTCAGGGAAGGGGACAGGACCCTGGATCCCCATGGCAGAACTGGCCAGGCTGAAGCAGGGGAGGTGAATTGTCCCCCAGAACCGGGGACTGCACGACATCCTGCACTGAAAGCCCAATCCAGGCAAGGATTCCTTGTCTTACAGTGCAATTACAGCTTTGTTGGCTTTCATGCCTTTGTAAATACCAAAGATGACCCTTTACACTTTTCTTGAAGGGTTCAATCCTTAATTCACCTTCTCACTTGACTGTACTCTGGAAAAGACTGAAACACATCAGAAGTGGCAGGGTGCCTCCCCTCTCTCTTCCCTTTTGTCCTGGCAGAGACCCATGCACACCAGTTTGAGGATGAAGAGAAAAGGACCTTGACTGGTAAGAAACTACGCTGCTCTGTGCTCCAGCGTGAGGGCAAGTCCATCACAAACTCAGATCCATCCTGTGATCCACTGTAACCGAGCAGAGCTCGCAAGCAGCCACGTGGGGTGCGACCAAGGCAGCAAATGCCAAGCAAATGATAAAACAGTTTTCTCTGACACTGGTTCTGCCTTTTTTGTGTAGCCCAGAAAATTAATTCTGTGCTCTTGAGTCTTCCCCTGTCCACAAGAGGATTGAGGCCCCGTTTCAAGCTCTGGTGTCTACGTGTTGTATTTGTAAGCTAGAAAAATCTCATCACGAGTTATTGCACAATATACCTACCACTTCATTTGTACCTAAGTGGGGACCCCGTTTTCCATTTTTACAGCAGCATATTTAATAAGTAAAAAAAAAAAATAGAAGTTCATTAAAAATAAATGTCCTTCTTGCTGGGAGGTGCTTGGTTTGAATGCCCATTTTCAAACATTGTATGTGAAAATACTCAAGTCCTGCACTGGGTCACTTACTAAAAATTTGATTTGAAGATCAGCCTACAAGTCTCATAAACAGTCTCATAAAGATGTAACTATCACAATAACTTTCCATTTTCCAGTTGCAAACATAAGATGAACTGTTCTGAAGCACCTAATGTATGACTAATGTTTATTTGTTTTACACGAAGCTTTACAGCCGCAATGTTCCGAGAATGCTTAAATTCAATAAACAGCTATTATAATTCACTCAATGGTGGCAATTCCCTCTATGAGAAAACATAACCTATCCATTTTAATTTTTCAGAATCGGTGAAAAAACTTTAAGGTAGATTACCCCGAAGTGAGATTTAAACAGCCCCTGCCTCCTTGGCTGTACAAACACCACCGCCAGATTCTGGTACTCTGAGCTGGTGAGGCAACTCTCCACATAAATCATTTCGATGCCTGTTTTTTAACTCACGTTACCAGTGATCCTATCTGACACGCCGTACCGCATTTACAACTCACGAGGCAGAGGATTTAACGGGCGTGCCTGTCCCCCTGAGCAGCTCTGAAACGGTTACGTGTAAACTATATTACTGTACCCCGTGTAACATCCCCCCCCCAGCCGGATCCACTTCGGTTCTCACCTGTCCTTCCCGGTTTCCCGCTTGAACAGGTCGTCGAACTGGAGCATCTTGTGGCGGGAGATCATGTAGGCTTTCAGCTGGGGCAGGATCTGGTTGATGAGCTGCAGGTTGTTGTACACCAGGCCCTTCCCGTCCCGCCGCATGTAGCTGCTCGGCCCCCAGAAGATGAACACGGCGCCGTGGCTCGTGTTGAGGAGCTCGTTGCGGTTCCGCAGGATCCTCTGGATGCTGGAGTGGGCGATGACCCGAAGGCTCGTCCTGTTGCCGACGTCCCTGCCGTAGCCCCGGGTGGGCGCGTCGTTCATGCGGATGACGCACTCGGTCTCGTCGATCCTGTCCCCCTGCCTGCCCCCCAGCAGGTGCCCGGAGCTGGTCACCAAGGCACAGCTCCTGCAGTGCATCTTCAACGGCTGCAAAGACACACCAACCTCAGCGTTAGCTGCTGGCATCTTCCTTTTTTCAGCTTTACACAAAACTGGCGTATTTTACAGCGAAAATCGCTAGGGAATTTACGTAAATCTCTCCCAGCAGCCCTCCCAACTAGCTGGGGATGCTTTACCTGCACGTTTTGTAGGTGGGGAAAATGTGGTGGAGGTGTATTAGCCTTTAATGTTCCTCTGTGGAGCTGAGCCCATTGTGTAAATCCTCCTTTCCACTGTCTACACAGAAATGACAACAGCTTCTGTGCTGTTCCCAGCTGCTTAGGGCTGTACTTCTTCCACTTGCCAGAAACAAGCTACAATTGGAGTATTTTTTTTTACTCTTCCACTTTTTTTCAGGAAATAATCAACCCCAAGACCTCCTAAGTTCATGTGTGAATAGCTTTTCAACCCTGGGGTCAGGACACTGTGCTCAGGGAAGAGAGTGACACATCGGCCCAGTCCTTCCACGGTATTTGCAGGTTGGCCCCATAACCACTGCAGTGCTCTTGTGCCACCTCCTTTATGCTCCCACACTCAGAGCTGGTCATTACTGTCTGTGTACATTTGGCATGGCAGTGAGTTAGTGCACTGAACTTCCTCCAGCTTGTCAGGTCACGCTCAAAAGTTACACAGTAAAATGGAACAGGAGGTGCCTGCTCGCTGAGTGCTGACCTCATGGAAGGAGGACAGTAAAACAAGCTCTCATGAAAATGAAAATGCATGATAAATCATATTACTAGAGTAAGCCACTGATATAGGTAGCAATTAGAGGAGTATGTCACTGCCTACTGCTCAGCATGAGAACTAAAAAGGGGCAAAGGGTTAACAATATCCCCAAAGCGCTACTTTCTAACAAGAGTACAATGAAATGTGAGGTAAATAAAGACTGTCTGAAGTTGTGCCTTGGTGGCACATGAAACAGTATCTTGCACTTGGTGTGTATCTGACAGTTTCTCTGAAAAACAACAACAAAAACCAACACACAAACCCACCCACCACCTCCCAAAACCAACCAAACAAAAAACCCCACCACAAAAAAAAACCCCAAAACCAAAGCAGGCATAGAAACTCAACTGCACTTGCTCAGTCATTTTGATCTACTGATCTTCTTCCCTAAGGGTGTCCATCAGATTTTTCTTTTCATCCTCCACCCCGAAGGATGGCATCATCCCAGTACCTTCCTGGTGAAGAACAGGCTTGTTTGAATTCAGACACACCACCTGCAGTTGTCTCCTGCACTGTGGCACTGGCCTGATCCTCTGGTGTGCTGAGGAGGGGACAGATCCACTGGCTCTGAAGAGCAACCTAAACACAGCCAGCGCATCTCCAGGCATAAACCTGGTAGGTTTATTAGCAGTGAGAAGTTATGGTGGCACATAATCACCCTTACTATCAACCACAGGCATCAAATGACTACCTCAGTCTGCAGGGAGGCACAGCTGAAAACTCTCAAGCTGATAAGGACACATAACCGAGGTTTGACATCGTCTCTGTCCCCTGTTTGAAAATGCTTTGGCCCCTAGAATTTGATGGGAGTGTTTTACTGTATTAACTTATGTTTAATTTTTGAAGTAATAAGTGGTTGGTTACTACTGCAGTCTGAGATTTTTTTTTTTTATTATTTTAAAATGAGAAGAGCTAATGAATGATAGTGCTTTTCAGTTGAAGAGAAAATAACTGAATTATACAATCTGTGCAAAGATACAACCGGCAAGTCTTGTATCTCCATCTCCCCCAATCAGCAAGGTCCCTTTTCTTTCACATCTAAGGACTACAATCCAGAGCTAATGATATGGGTAGAAACTGTTCATGCCTTTGTGAGCCCAGGTTCCTAATGCAGTATTTACATGCATTTTCCTTTAAGCTTTCACCTGCCACTTTGATGAATTACCTAGCCAAAGGCTCTACGGTGAACTGGCTGCTCCACCACCATGCTTGGGAAAGCAAGATGAAGTGCTAATGAGGTTAAAGGAAATGTAGTCAGCACCAGTGTTGACTCACATAGGTCTGAATACCCTCATAGCAAGGCATTTTCACCTACACAATCTCTGCTGGTTTCTGGCCTACTGAGCTGTTTCTTTTTTAAAAGTCTGCCACAGAATCCATCAGTTGTTGGGAAACAAGGGGGAAACTTGGGGAGGGGGGGGGGGGGGGGCTGAGCCAACAGAATAAACATTAACACCTCCCAGAACATCTGTCCCAGATCTTGTTTGAAAGACGTTCCTTCTGGTGAGAAGTCCCTTTAGGTGAGGCATTCAGGTACTGCCTAACTACTTCTTGACTGATGCATGGGGGGCTGAGCCCCTGCAGCTGCTCCAGGCGAGCCATTTTCAGTCAGATTCTTTCAGCCACAAAACTCGCACCTCAAAACTGTCAGAGGGATTCACAGCCAACAGCCACAACGTTCTCACACCAGCTGTTTATAATGCCTTGACAATACTGAAAACGAGGGGGGGGGGAGGGAAGCTATAGGGTGTAATACCTCTAGTGTTGGGAGGCAGCAGTGGCACCACAAATGTCATGTATTTAAGCAATAATAAGGCAGGCACGAGGCAGTTCTCTGGGACTGATGACCAGCTGGGAAAAGCTGATGGCCTGAGAATAACCAGGGGCCATTAAGCCAGAAGAACATCAACTCCACAGAAAGCGCTCTGTTACAGTAATTATTACAGTGATATTTTGGAAAAAAAAAAAGCAAACTGGGGGAAAAAAAAAAGAAAGGCAAACCAACAGCATACGAGGTGTATTTCTGGAGCCTGGCTTCAAAATACCCAGAGAAGGGACACAGGGTGAGAGGTAGGTGAGTTTTACAGTACCTGCATTAGGTACCTTGAAGTGTAACATGCCATGCATGTGAAAGCTGCTGACATTTAATTGTACCCACTGCCAATCAGCAGCCACAGTTCATGTGCACCCTCAGACAGGGAACGAGCCAAGCACTGGCCAAAACAACTGCCCAAAATCAGCTCTCAGTTCCAGTCAGCTCAAGACTCACACAGAGAGAGGGGGAACAGAGGTTACAGCAAGCTCACAGTGCAGGAGCCCCAGGAGATGGCAAAATCAGCTGGTGCTTTTCCAAGACAGACGGGCTATCCCAAGGGAATAAAGGGAACAGGTGAATATTTTGTTATGGATAAACCCCATAACAGCACGTTAGTGGCCACAAGAAACCAGGGCAACTGCTCCAAGTGCCACAGGCCAAGCTGACTCCTCTGGAAGGAAGCTTTCACTTCCATAGATTATAGCCCAGGAAGTGCTTGGCTGCTCTTTCACGTACGCCTGACTTGGTTAATACCAACAAACAGACAAACAGAACCCAAAAAAAACCAATGCCACAGTTGTTTCTGCATTTTCCAATTTGAGGCAATTTGCACTGTTATTGACTTTAAAAATCTGCGTTGCCCAATGATAGAAAAATGTTATTTTCAGACACTTTAGTGCTCAAGTGCTTGAAAAGGATCAATTGAATCAATCAATTGAATTCCTGATTCAAAACATGTTACTCTCAGATATAATTATTTTCTCTGTGATGAAATCAAATAAAATTTTTTTTTTTTTGGCCTTATAGAAGTCGTTTGATTTAGAAGATTTAGAAAACAAGACAATTCCCTCCAGTAAAATCAGGAACACTGGAAAACCTGTTTTTTCCTATACTATTTAATGACCTACTTTTCAAGACCCCTGGGTTCAGATCACCCCATTATCAGCAGTATAAAAGTTTCCTTTCTATAAATAAAATAGAGTATTTCATCTTGATGACCTGTCCAACAACAACAACCAAACCAACCCAACCAAACAAACAAGCAAAAAAAAAAAAAAAAAAAAAAAAAAAAAAAAAAAAAAAAAAAAAAAAAAAAAAAAAAAAAAAAAAAAAAAAAAAAAAAAAAAAAAAAAAAAAAAAAAAAAAAAAAAAAAAAAAAAAAAAAAAAAAAAAAAAAAAAAAAAAAAAAAAAAAAAAAAAAAAAAAAAAAAAAACAAAAAAACACAAACCCAAACCCCAAACCAAAACAAGAAAAAAAGACCTGGAGAGAAGAACAGCTCATTACTGAGTTCAGCTAAAGAGACCACCTGTCAGTTCATGAACACGAGCACTCCTCATGGATCCATCTGGAAATATTACAGATGACTTCAAAGTTGGGGGAGAGAGCAAGAGAGACCTAGAAAGGTTAAAGCATACCCAAACTCGGGTTTTGATGGATGACCTTTAACTGAGCATTTGAGACTGGAAGTGCAAAAGGTTTCCCTTGCACTGCAACACCTCTGCAGCACATGGACAGCCAGCACACCTTCTTCTGTCTGAGCTGGAAGGAGAAGCTCTGGGGCAGCTCCTCTCTGTGTTAACTACCTGAATCAACAGCTCCCAAACCGACTGAGACAGCAAGAGCAGTGGTACAAATAAAGACTGATGCACAGGAAAGCAAATCTGTTTCCGCCTGCAACTGAATTAATTCACTGTACGGCTGAATTAATTCACTCTAAGGCTAAATGAATGGTTGAAAAAGGGACACATGAACTCTGTGTTTATAAACAGTCTTCCTGCTTCAGGAGAAGTGACCTCATTGGAGAGCAGCCCAGCTTTCTCTGCCTGTTACAAAGCAGGTGATTGCAGGGCCAGGAGTTTGAGGGCTCCCCTCCCTGGTGCCCATCGTGCCTGGCCTGAGCACAGCTTGTGACACTCTGTGTGTGTGTTACCTTTGGATTGGCTTTTTACGTTCCCTGCCCTGTGCAAGGAACTGAATCAGCATTTCCTACGTGTTAATGAACCCCCAATTCACCCCACGTTCAATGCAATTTGTTACATATGGCCTGTTCCTGATTGCTGGGTCATCAACCACCAGCAACAACACTAAATATTTAAATCTTGGCCAGTAATACAGGATTTTGTCCTGGCAGCTTCAACTCTTTTACTTTCTTGTGGCTTTGAGCAGCTCTGAGGTTTCCTCACAAGCTGCTGGTTTGGAACCACTGCTCCACTGGGCTGGCTGCTC